TTGTATGCATGTAAAATATTTATTGCGTTTGTGTATATAATGACATTTTTAATTGGATTATACCTCAAAGAGGAGAGGATAAATACATACCTCTTACAGTAGCTGGAAATGGATTTCCAAATTTCTCAACATACTCTGCCTCATACTTGCTGACATCAGGTTTTCCTTTAAATAAAATGGTCGTCGCACCCTTGGCACCCATTACCGCCACTTCAGCGGTTGGCCACGCATAATTAACGTCGCCTCGTAAATGTTTCGATGACATCACATCATATGCGCCGCCATATCCCTAAAAATAAAGCACGGTCATACTTTGCAGGATTTAAGGTAACATCATTTGGTATAAAATCGCACTTACCTTTCGAGTAATGACGGTAATCTTTGGAACTGTTGCCTCTGCAAATGCATATAGTAATTTAGCTCCATGACGTATGATGCCATTGTGCTCCTGGCCTGTGCCAGGCAGAAAACCTGGTACATCCACGAATGTGATAATTGGAATGTTGAAAGCATCACAAAATCGCACAAACCTTGCTCCCTTAACAGACGAATTGATGTCTAAACAGCCTATAGTAAAAAGAAACAAACGCTATGAACATTCATGTTTCATAAACTGCAGGTTTGTAACACATTTAAAACATGCAGCAACTTCTCAAGAATGTAACACGTTCAATTCTGGATATTTAAATGCCGCTTTGAATTTCTGGATCAAATGGCTATTGATAAACAGACTAAAACATTTCAAATAAATTTGTAGACCTCAGCACATTCTGCAAATGTATGTTATGTACCAAGTTTCTACAGAATTTTATTTCAAGAAATCACAGACGGAATAATTTATTTTTGGTGGCTTTACGTAAAGGTTCGTGTGAGTCGAGTCTTACGTAGCCCAGGCAGGGTATGTATACTGTTGTAAAAACCTTAGTTTCCTACCTGCAGCACTTTTTGGTTGGTTTCCAACAATGCCTACAGTTCTACCATTCATCCTTCCAAAACCTATGATAATGTTTTTAGCATAATTGGGCATAATTTCAAAAAAGTCTCTCTCGTCTACGACATTTATGACGACATCCAACATGTCATATGCTTCTGTGCTTTCCTGTGGTATTATGGTATCCAAAGTTGGTACATCTCGGTCCCTAGAAAAATTACCAGAAAACATTAATTTTATAAATAAATGATTTTGTAAAAAAATGTCTTAGGTCTACATATTTTTACCTATGCATGCAGAAAATGATGTTTTAAGTATTCCTTATTCAAATATAAGCTGAACATGGTCAGAAGAACCAGTTTCACTTTCAATGTAATTACAAGAATATAATTTATTTACATTTTATTTAACGATACTTTTCCAGTAGCTCGGAGTAACAAGTGTTGAATGTGAGGATGGGTAAATAATGGATGAGAAGCATGTTGAAGGAAGTGGTTGTGGCTTTGGCAGTTGCCTTGAGGAACTGAGGAAAACTATGAAAACCTTCAGTCAGGATAGCTGGTCTCTGAGCCAAGATTAAAATCAATTAATTCTGGATTATATCAGTTTTTTCAATACCATGGATCATCACAAATTCTGATTGGTGCAGGATCCTTGTTTGAGAGAGGCAGGAATCCAAGGAAGTTTCTCAACTGCAGGAGAGCATCTACATCATTATGGAAAGCTTTATGCGCTACTCCTGATGTTGTTGTATGTGTTTTTGCTCCTCCCAGTTCTTCTTGGGTCACATTCTCATTTGTTACCGACTGTCAACACACAAGACAATATTATGTTTACAGGTTATTAAACAGCGACTCTTTGCTCTACCTCACATTCTAAAATAATATAACGCTGGCCATTCTAATATAGTCACCCTCGGTGGACTAGTGGTTAGCGTGCTCGCCACTGGACCCAAGGTTCGTGAGTTCAATCCTGGCCGAGGTCAATAGATTTTTTAATTGTGATAAAAATCCGTAGCACAACTTCCTTCGGCGGGGAAGTAAAACCGGCGGTCCCATGTCGTAGATTTACGGCACATAAAAGAACCTTGAGAGCATGATACGAGATGTTTCGTAAGCAAAATTCAGCAGCCATTTCTCACCCAAGTCTCTCCTGACTCACTGCTTCACTACTAGATGGCTCTGGCAGTCAAATCAGGAGTGAGTAGAATTTGTGCAGAGTCAGTGGACTAGTCACTCACTACTCTTAAATGTACGCTTTAAAGACTATGAACCCTCCAAAAGGAAGCCCTATGCTCCACTTACGAGTTACAGGAACTAAACTAACTAAACATTCTAATATATCTCATTTAAAAGTTTAATACCTGAAAAAGAACTGGGCTGATAGCATCAGCCACTAGTGTTTTAAATCGAACACGTTTTAACTTCATGTCACAGATTTGAAAATGTGAAGCATACCTTAACCACATCAGGTCCTGTAATGAAAAGGTAAGATGTATCTTCTACCATGAATGTAAAGTCTGTCATTGCAGGAGAATATACTGCACCTCCAGCACAGGGACCCATGATGAGAGAAATCTGAAAGAAGAGAATTCAAGAGTGCTACCTTTCCCAGAACTTCAGTGATTAGTTATTAAATTATTTTCAAGAGCAAATCGAGTGTTCCACATTATTATTATTATTTAGTGTTCTGTCTGACGACAGGTCCATATGAACAGCATCCTTCCATCCTTCCATCCTTTTCTGGGACCTGTTCATATACGTTCTTGGCAGATGATCCAGAAGTGGTTTGCCATTGCCTTCTTCTGTGTGTGAATGGAGTAATTGTTGGGATGCCACGGAGAAACCGGGGAAGCCCCTGGAGGAAAACTCTGTGTTGCCTAGACCACGGCCTTGCCCAACACAAGTACAAAATTCGGGAACCGTGGGAATCGAACCCGAGACCCCTGGATTACAAGGCCAGCGTTCTAACAGCTAGACCACCGTGGCTTCTGTGTTCCACATGAAAGACACACATAAATGTCCTTGGCATGTTAAATGGTGAAATTGATTTTCAGTAGCTGAATTCATGCTCTGAAAATTTACAACACATTTACTACTGCATATATCTGATAGGAGAATTCTTCCTTTAAATAAAGGCACACTAAAAATTCAACTCCTTATGCTGGCTGATTTATAACATGAATAAAAGGAGTACCTGTGGAATGACTCCTGAAGACAAAACATTTCTCAGAAATATATCAGCATAGCCAGCCAGTGATTCAACGCCTTCTTGGATGCGAGCACCACCAGAATCATTCAGTCCAATAACAGGAGCTCCAACAAGCATGGCTTGATCCATAATCTTAAACATATGTCACATCATACACAGATGAATGAGGTAATATTTATTTATGTGCATAAAAATGCTCCATCATATTCAGACATGAACGTGATTCGTTACCTTGCAGATTTTCTTGGCATGTATGCTGGAAAGACTTCCTCCAAACACAGTGAAGTCCTGGCTAAACATGTAAGCTATTCGTCCATTGATAAGCCCATGACCTGTGATGACTGAGTCACCAGGATACTAAACAAGCAGAAAATATATTCCATTTGAATGTCAAGAATAGGAGACAAACAGGTTTAAGTTAATGCCCTTTTATAAGTTATTAAAATGTTTCTCCTTTATTTCATCATTTGCTGGTGCTGGACTTGGTACATAACAATTTCAGAGTATCATGCAATCATGTAATGGATGGGATTACAGTCTTAACTAAGTAAATGAATAAAAGTAATGTGCAAAATGACAACTATACAAAACTTGTAACTTAAATAAATTAAATATTTTAGCAAATTTTTTATATAAAACAAGGGAAGCAAACAAACAATAAATGAATGTTGACTGAATAGACAGACAATAACAAAAATTATTTTCAAAACCAAAGTTCATTACCTTGTTTGCGATAATATTCGGTATCTATCAGTTCATAACTAAATTAAAATCATTTGTGAAATGTATAATGAAGCAGTGGTATACTGTATGCAACTCAACCTTATACCCTGAAATAAATTTGATAAGATTTGAGTACAGAGATAATTGCAGTTAGTTTAATAATTGCAAGTAAATATATCCACTGGGAAGTTCTAGGCAAACATTACTAGACATAGTGTCACTGAATCCTAATAATTTCAAGGTTTATGCAGGGTAAATACCACATCCACACAGCTCACAAATTCAATTATTACATTAAAAACAAAACAAATTTAACTAATTACTGAATTACTCATTCCAATAAACATACATTTTAAATTTCCAAAACTTACAAATAATACTTAATAATAATTAATACTGAACCAACAATTTGGATTTTGTTGTCAAGACTGGTATAAAGATGGAAATCTATTGTGACTAACTGAAAACCTAATAAACTTTTATTTGCATATTTTATTATACAGTAATGTTATAATAAACAAGAAGTTTTAATGTGGTATATGAGGTTTTCACAGTTGTAGAGTGTAAACATGGTCTTTTGGATTGTTATGCCATGTAGTAGTATTCCAATCAAGGACTTTTAAGACTGTTAAAAAAACTACTGCAATATTAGTGGTTAGTAGTCTGATAATTTACCTTCTGTTTTTCCATTCCAAAATCTGAGCAAGTGTGTTCTACCAACATATCATATTCAACAAAACTTCCTGGGTCACATAACAGATGCACCCTTTCCCGAGCTGTCAGTTTACCCTGGAAAAAATAATTGGGTACCATGAGCAAGAGTCACAACCATCAACCTCCAAGGCCATCTGGTGGTCTAGTGGTTAGAATGCTGGTGTGACATCCGAACAATCCCGGGTTCGATTCCTACCGCTATCATAAAACAAAATCAATACTGGGGCATTGAACATATATACTACTAATGCCGATTCCGCCGAAAAAGATTAGCAGTTTGCATTCAACTTACAGTGATATGGTACGAAGGTTTTAAGAACTGAATTTCAACTAGGCAAGGCACAATGCAAAACAAACACGCATACGTTAAGAAACTTTCAGACTGCTATGCAAAAATATTCCGCCAAAACTTGTGTAAATTAGTGCATTATAAAAAACGAAATTAATTTGCGTCTGAGAACTACATTATGAATTCCACTAAAGTGAAACACCAGTGCTACATAAATAACCACAATATATAAAACATTTTTTTAAAATCATTCAGCACCTTTTTATGTTGAGCGTCAATTCTACTCTGACCACCACCTAATAAGGCTCGTTTCCTTTTTTCTTTGATTTGCTGGTTCACTCTTAAAGTGTGTGCTGCAGTTGAATATTGATTACAAAACTGTACTCCAAAAATGCCATAATTCCAGCGTATACATCTTGGAAGTATAACCAAACTTGCACTGCTTAACGCCATTTTTCGTCGTATGACGTACGATACTACTTTCGGTTTAGTTTGTATCTGTTCGCGTATTTACTTTCATTAATTATGACAGAATTTTAAAGACAGTGTTATAAATATACGAACAATTAAAACAAGTAGGCTGATATAAAGTATCTGAATTTAGCAACTTATATTAAAATTCAACTTAATATTGGAACTATTTTTCACACAGAAACTGGTAGTGTCGACATCTATCGGGTTGTCGTCTGTCTCTGAGTGTGCACAGATCGTTGTGTTGAAAATTCCATAAAATAATATATTTGTGGCATTTTTTGATTGAGTTTTGGCGAAATTTAATAAATAAGGTGTTCATGATTCTTAGTATTTAGTACTCCAATACTCCATGGCTGTATAGTTGGGGAACCGTGAACAGATGATTGTGGTGTAAAGCCTTATGACAAGAAGAGATTGTTCAGTTGAAAAGTGAAAGGAGAAAGTCAAAATCATGAAAAGCGGGCTTCCGAAGAAGGAGGGGAAGATGCGAATCAGGGCTTTCCCGGTGAGTTTTTAGTACACTGCTATTGCATACGTTCATACAAAACAATGTCTTCTATGTATCCTTGTTTATCTGCATGATCCTCATTGTTGCCAACCTGGTCCTCTGAAGCATAAATATGACCAAACATAACACTAACTGAAATGTATGTTTGTAGTTTTTTTAAATTACAGTATTAACTATTCATATAGGTCGATAAACTGAAAGCAAAACGGATTGCAGTAATACATACAAATTTCTGGAGGAGGCATATATTTGTCTGATATATTGCTGAAGAGAATGCAGCATAGTAATTAACCCATCATTGATATGACAAGAACTGTATCATTGATAGATTTGTATTTGAATAGCTTGACAAGAAGGTGTTTCTGATTTTCATTAGATTATTAAAAACCTATCAGAATTATACCATGACAGTTTCCATTTCATTTCAGTCTACACAGTTATTCTCATGTTTGGTTTTCACAAAATAGCTACCACAGTTGATACAGTAGCAGCAAGTAGTTTTTGCAGGAAAAATTTAGCCAGATAGAGCTAGTGCAATTTTGCAAGGACCAGGACATAGAATGTTATGCTGTACAACTTGATACAATTTTTTTAAATTATGTTTTTTAGCAATATACAGAGAACCAACAGGTGACTTTGAAATATTTATTAACACGTTACACAGCATTATGGACTACCTTTACAAACCTAAAACAGAATTTGTCATCTGTGGGGATATAAATATTGAGTATCTCCCATAGGCAATGTCTAAATTCTCTTTTAGCAGCATTTAGTCTTACACCTACAGTTAGTTTTCCCACAAGAATTCAAAATAGCTCCAACTCTGCCATTGATAATATTTTTGTAGATAGTTACAGGTTAGAACACATTTCCATTAAACCGGTAATAAATGGGCTATCTGATCATGATGCTCAGCTATTATAAAAAACATAAACCTTATTTCTAACTTTCACAATGATATGAAGGTAACTAGAGTGATAAATGAAGTCACTTTAAATGAATTTACACAACATCTCAGTAGTGAGATTGGAAGTTATTACTCAATGGTGATGATATGGATTCAAAGTTCATTTCCTTTCTAAACATCTTTTTAAGCATATTTAAAAAAAAATTCCTACTAGAACAGAAAAAATTGTCTGAAACCAATGTATGGATAACTAAAGGCATCTAAACATCATGCAAATATAAGCGAGCTCTTTACCTAAATAGCAGGTCCAGTAATAACCCACTACTGAAGCAACACTATAGAAAATATTGCAAAATTTTATCTCAAGTCATTAAAGAATCTAAACACATGCATTACAATAAATTGATAGTAGAGTCTGAAAATAAA